CCTTGGTTTGGGGATAAACTAGGATTTTATAGAGGTATAACGCTGGCCCTAAGTTTCGGTACATTTCCCCTACCCCCTCTATCATATCTTGTCCCTCTCCTCTCTCAAAAACTACAGAAGAGATGTATCAACTTTGCATTTCGGGAAAGGGGTCGTCTCAAAAAAGAGGCAACTGTCAAAACAACGAGCAGGAATATTCTGGCAGATATGCAAACATCGAAGCGCAATTGAGAATACTTATTCAAACCGATTTGGAGGTGCCTCTAAAGCTGATAACCATACTTAGCCTTTCAAATAAATAAATAAAAAAACTCTTGAAGAGGTTCAAATAGTTTCCTTGTAATTAGCATCGTCTCTGTTCTCTGAGTAGTCTCAAAATGTGCTTATTGCTTCATATAGAAACACCTTTGATACAACGAAAAGTTATAGGAACAATATTAATCACTTGTATGGCACTGAAGTCCGTATATAGTTTGGTTTGATCGACCGCGATCGAGAGATGATATGCCGCTACACCTCTGACAGGTAATAGGCAATGAATGTGCGCTTTAACCACTTCAGGGGATTAGATGGAATACACGGAGTCGCCTGGATCGTCTAAAAATTTTTTGGGACTATTCGGACAATTCGGACGAAGCCTGCAAGCAAGATCCCCATTTGTGTAATATCGCGAGAAGTCACGCACGAGCAGCACGCGTAAGGAGACGCGAGAGAGGGGGAAGACTACTACTCTACTACGACGTACACAGTATTTACCTCAAAGCCTGAAGCAGGGACGCTAGGACATGGAAAATGCTGCCAATCCATCAGCTCTGCTATTGACAAATTTTGCTGCAACAAAAAGGTTTAGGCAATTTATTTCATCTCCCGAGCGAATCCCAATTAAATAGTTATTACAGTAACAAATATTTAACAAAGTGACAACGATTTCCATTGTTTGCACTTTCATAGAAATGACGTCAAAATGTTCATATTTCAAGTAGTACAGCGACAATCTTTTTCCCACTCTCTCTTATTGGGATACCCTGCCGAAGCCTCCGCAGAGAAGATAGTTTTTCCCAGGTTCTCTCTTCGTATCTTCCTAATGAGTATGAAATCCGAAGTTAGGGGAGTTAACCGCTCGGCCACCTCGCCTTGAAAGCGTTATCGCTGCATCAGCGAATAATGAGTAGTGGAATTGATCCATGTTGAGTGCTGAAAAAGGCACCTTAAATGAAATCTGACCGTATAAAAACTTAAGCCCCGTGCAAACGGACGCGTCTTTGTTGGCCAACAACTCCCGAAATTGTCGGAAGTTACACTATGTATGTTGCGTACGTTTGCACACTGTTGCATGTTGTTACATGTTATTTCGTGTTGTTGGGAGTTGTTGCATCCGTTTGCACACCACTGCTAACACGGACGCAACGACTCCCAACATTGTTGTCCCGCTTTACTCTCCTGTGACGTCACCCAACGCCTCTGTTCACGAATGTTCGTGGGAGGAAGGTTTGAGTAACGACACAAAGAACGGTTAAGTAGGAGATCTAGACTAATACATACTTGATTACTGAGGTTCTTGTCAAATCCTAACTGACAAGGCCTGGTTACATTTCTGATCGATTGCTGATTGGCTGTAGGCTGGTCTGATTCGCAATCTTCGTTCTCACTTTCATTCTAAAAAGCAAACAAAATACATTGCATTAGGAATTAAGCAGTATGCGTGTTTTTTCGTTTTTCATGCTACCGCCGATACCTTGCATTTGTTTTGCATTTCCGGAAAAAGATAAAGTAAAGCAACCTTATTCAGACATTGTAGTTAAGAGTTCTAGTTAAGAATCTGAGAAGTACTTGTGCGGAATGGAAACAAATCAGTATCAATAAAAGGGAAAGTCAAAACCTCAAAGCATATTCTTTAAGGTAAGATAATGTAGGCATCGAAAAATTCTTTTACTGTGAATTGCGCGTTCTGTTGGTTAAAGAAAAACACAATACTTGGCAGTGGTTGTTCTAAGGCTGAGATAACAAATTGCCAGAAAACTATAAGAAATATTTTTTTATGGCAGGGGTACGTTACTCTACACGAGAGGCCCCAAGCATATTTCACATAGTTTGCCTTTTATCCATGGTTTTACTCGTTTCTCAGTTTTTCTTGGAGAAAGAGAGAGTGCGCAAACGAGAGAAAAACAGGCGCAAACGGAGGCCTTGGTTTCGGTGAGTTTGTTCGGTGTTTCTCGATCTGAAAAGGTCCCCTCTCCTTCGTAAGCACCACGTTTAAATTCCAATTCGATCCGGAATGTGGTTGGTGAGGAGCCACTGTACAGACATGTTAATCCGGAATGTGGTAGGTTAGGAGCCACTGTACGGACATGTTATAATATGTCATTTCACATACAGAAGGGAAAGGCAGGTGATACTATGACCTCAGTGCACGAATGGCTCGAGGAGATTGCGCAGTACTATTAAATGACCAGCTGATATAGACATCAGTCAACCGGCAAGAGAACATCTTTCTGACTGAACTTCCTAAGACAAGTACCTAGTTGTAAGGTCTCATTCTTTTTACGAATTAAGGAAGTAATAATAAGATCCTGTTCTGTCTATTTAGATCTATTTTAGGATCATAAATGCTGGCGGATAGATCTGTATCCCGTAAATTCGCAGCGTTTTCACCTGAACGTCGCACTATGAGAGGACAGAAAGGAGCAGAAAAATGGGGCGCGTGGACGGAAGCAGTATTCATCATTACGCCCTACGAAACTTGTAAAATAGTTACATTTATTATTAACCTTATCAGGTCTATTTGCGTTACAAATATTTACTATACTGCTTAATTTAAAGTTTCGTATTTGACTACGAAGTCGAACCCTTTTGTAATGATAATGAAGGCCTTTGAATCGTTAAGTGCTCGACGATAAAAGCTGTTTAGTCTTGAGGTATTGTCCAATAAAACCAACATTGATCTGTTTCAGTTCTTTTATGGAAATGTACGGTGGTTAGGGGAGCACTTTTGAGTTAACTACCTCAGTGGTCAGCTAACAATCAATGTCCATGTTGATATCCACTATCATCGATCATGGCTAAAAGTGCTAAAAATTATTTTATCTTATACGGAGTATTATTTGATAGAATTGTTTGGAGACATTGTGAGGTTTTTTAAATATCAAATGAAAAGGCATCGAAGTTCAATGTTTAGTTAATGACGAATAACGAATAGATTTCTGGCATTTCTATACAATTGACTACTGCCGTTGTCCCCACGTGCTCCTCTTAACACAATAAGCTTAAAATCACATTTGCTCAGTGAAAATGTAGAACTATATTTTTTCTTTCACATCGCGAAATATTTCACAGAAATCATGATTAAACGTTTTATAACACTACTAGCCTTAGGGTATCATTGCATCAAATGATTTAACTGTTCTGAATAGTCTCGCTTGTCTCAGTATGCAAATAATGATAGGGTTTCGCTCCAGAAAACATGCATGCACTAATCTTTCAAGTTGTAGCATCGTTTGTCAGAACAAGGATTTCACCACACGCACTTTCAAACCGTGTCTCATCTCCGGTAGGATAGAAAAACTGTTTAATCTTTCCGTATTCAGTGCTGACTGAGCACGGTGGTTTATGTCCATAACTTCCTCTTCAAAGGAAGGACGACCTGATAGTTGATCCTCTGACCTTTATCAACTCAATTGCTCCTTCTTTTGCTCCATATTCCTTAATCTATTGTGCGACAGATTGTCAGATGCTATCGACAAGTCCATGGTTACTAATCCTGTTGCTTTATTCTTCGTCAATCACTTTTCTCTACTGTTTTCTATGACACCTGTTTGTGGTAGATATGTTCTCAAAATAAGGGCCCATCCCATACTGTAGTAGTCTCTCAAAAACTTTCGAGAAGGCAGGCAATACTGTTACTGGTCTGTAGTCAGATTTAGAAAGAGTAAAATATCTTTTAACAACTGGGGACTCTTCGCGTTGTGGCATGTAAGCGCTTGTTTTGTTGACTTTCATAGACATTGTGAAGAAACGACAATATCTTGAAATCGACTCCATAAAATTTAACAAAATATGTCGCAAATCCCGTTCGTATTGCACTGTAGTCGATGAAAGCTCAAAATAAAATTGAACAAAGGAGTTTATGACACAATCAAGTTTCTTATGATAGCTGTTTCCTTAGAAATTTTATATACTGTTTGTTACAATTTGGCTCAGTTGTTTTTAAAAAATGAGGGTTATTAATTATAAGCTGTGTGCAAATTTATAAGGAAATCTAATAACTGGATTTATTCGTAAAAATCTACCAAATTTAACGTTTTAGGCTTGTTTTAACTCATCCAGGTTGCCATGGCAACTATGAAAATGTTACGTTTAATCAAATGAATGTATAGTCTTGTAAATATATTCTGTCCTTGCCAAATTTGAGTATTATATCTGCAGCTAGTCTTAAATAACATCCAAATGAATGGAAAGGATTCAAAACCTAGCAAACTGAGTTTAGCCACTTTTATTAGCTGGCAACGTGGCTCTAGTGTAGATTCAGGTCCACCAAACATTGATTTGCAAGCCACTGCGGCTTCCATATTGACATCTACTATCACGGCGAGGGCACCTAAAAGTTGTTTAAACTATTATTGAGCATTGCTGGGTACATCACTTTCGCTACAATGTCCATAGAGTCAAATGTTTTCAATCAAATTAAGACGCAGAAATATTCAGTGTTTTGATTAATGCCCAAAAACACTGGGCGTACTTGACATAAAAATAACAAATTCAATATAAATTTCCATTTCAACGCTTGACTTCCTCGTCTTACTACAACGAGCTAAAATTAATAACTTTTCCCTACCATCAAAAAAGTATAAAAAAATTCATGACTAAAAGTCTAATAACTATTCTTATCTAAACGGTAACTCCCGTCAAATGATACACATCTTGGCATTCAAATTGTCTCGTTTGTCTCTAATGCAAATACTGTCAACGTTTCACTTCAGATAACATTAAGCTTCCACGAAAAATCAAGCAGCAATGCCGTTTGTCAGAACAAGGATTTCACCACTCGCACTTCCATTTCGTTCTACGTTGTTAGCCCGGAGAAAATGTTTAATTTTTCCATCCACCGCGCTGACTGAGCACGGCACTTTACCACCAACTCTCCCGAGGTAGAGCGACCCAAGAGAACTACTTAAGCCAACAATCACAGCGTTAGGAGGCACGGGATCACCAATTTTAACTCGATATAGTTGATGGCCAGTATCTCGCAGGATATCACCAGATATCCGAGGAGGCCCGTCTCTTGTATTCCACCTGCTGCACTTATTATTTGCGGTAACAGTCACACCACATGGCACGCCATTCGTCAACCGACCAAAATACTCTGCTTCCAAACCGCTGGATGCTTTGATGATGTTTGTCGGAACGGGATCACCGCTTTTTGCTCCAATCCAAACTGGCTCAGGGTTAACTTGTTTAAAACTAAAACTAGTTTTAAGTACCGACACATAATGACTTCTGACAAACAGGCATCCAAATCTGAGGAAATCGACTTCTTCATCCATAGCCCACAATTCTGACCGGGCATACAAAGAAGCGTACAAGATGCGGGTTACACCTCTACCGCTACAAGCCACAGTTGAAAAAGACAGTGTCTCGCGATAAGGAATCAACTTAAAACCATATCGTACTAAGAATGTCTGTATGTAGGATTCATCCGGCACTCTGCCCCTTCTCACCAGCTTGTGTAATTCTTGATGAAACGTTGGGTTTATAGAAGAAAGTTCTTGAGACTTCAACCTCACATAGACAACATTTTCGGATTTATTGGTTACGTAAACGTTGTACATGGTGATCTGCAGTATCCTGAAAAGAAAGACAACTTATGAGTCAATATTTTTTCATAGCACTCTAATTTCATTACAAAACCAAAATTCCGGCAAAATGACACTGATTAAATTTTTAAATAAGCTACTACTATTTAATATGCACTACAAACGTTGAGTGGGAATAAATAACAAATACAAATTCAAAGTTATCTATAATTTTTTTCGTGTGCGCTTACCTTAGAATCCAGTACCTTTTTGATTCACTGTGACTGCGTCGCTCCTCATCGTAAGAATTAATGAAAGATGCAAACGCTGCACCGGCAACGACAGACAGCACCCAGGACTCCATCGGTTTTATCAACCATGCGGGAGGAAGAAACAAAGGGCTCTGGAGACGAGTCTTTTTGTTCCCAAAGCTCATCAATTGCCGCAGGAGAACAACTTGAAAAGGAAAATGTGATTCTGAAGTAATAGCGATGGATTATTCTCCAACATGCCCAATAAACATGCAATTTAGTTTGGAGAGAACTGTTCGTAATCTTGCACCTCAGAATTTGCCGAATTGCAATTCATTTCATGAATGATAAGAATCAGCTCCCACTTTTCATGCCCGACATAAGTTTTAGTGGTCAGACGTTATCTTAAACGACAATGGGAAGGAGAGAAAGGAAGGTCAAACTGCCTTAAAAGATTTATCAAAGAGAACAAGACAAAGATAATTTAGCGCAATGAAGATAGTATTCCGGTATTATCCACATAACGCTGAAAATGTAATCATAATGATCGTAACTCGAATTTACCAACGTAACAGACGTAAGGATCACTACCGACCTGAATTGCATCAAACTGAGATTGTTTATAGCGGGATATTCAAAAAGACAAAAAGAAGGGAAAAGAAAGTAGGTAAAACAGTGAGGAAGATTAGAACTGAAAAAAATAAATTGCATGTATGGGACTTTTCACGTAGCATAGATGAAT